CATTATCCTGAGAGATAACTTTCTCCAGTTGAATATCAACAAGACTGAGGCTCTCCTGCATGGTGCCTGTCAACACCTTTTTACTTCAGGCACTAACAACATCAGTCTGCACGGATGCACTCTCCACCTCATGGAGCCAGTATGGAACTTTGGTGTCTTGTTTGATTGCAACTGTCCTTTAAACCACACATCTGTGCCCTGACCTATTCAATTTTCCCCACCTCTGCAACATTGCTTGCCTCCATCATTACTTCTGTCCTTGGGCCATGAGACTCTTACCAACAACAAAAGCTTGCAACAACAACAATAGTGTCCTTCATGCAGGATAGCGTCCCTGAGAGCTTATCTATGCCTTCATCACGTGCATGCTTGGCAATATCAACTCTCTGCTCTCCCTACACAAGCTGCAGACCATCCAGATCTCTGCAGCTCGTGTCCTCTCTCACATTCGGCTCCACAAGCCTATTACCTCCATCCTCGCCTGGTTCCACCGGTTCCCCATCCCTGAGAGGTTTGAGCTCCTCCTCTTGGTTGGTACTGGTCTGCTTCACGTGCCCCACCTCATATGCCCAACCATCGTTGTTTCCATTCTCTGGAACTCCATCCCCAAATCCCTCCACCTTGTCCCTTCCCTTCAAGGTCCTGATCAAGACCTTCCTCTTTCGCCCACCACGCCTATCCCCTTGACCCATACCAAATCCAACCCCAGCTCTGGTGCAAAGTATCCAGCCCCTTGGAAAATTCAAGAAATGTAGAAGGCAATATATATCAATGCAATTTGTTATTGTTGTTTATCCAATACAGGATATTCTGCAAAGTGTAGCGCCTATGGTCACCTTCCTCCCCCTTCCCCTGGCTCGGTCCCGGGATCCGTTACTGTAAAGTGCTCTGAAAGGTCATCCGCGTGGAGGGTGCTATATAAATCCAAGTTGTTGTTGACTGTGCATTTTGTAAACAAATGTGATTTTGTGACTTTTCGAACCTGCAATATAAAAGTTATATTACGACCATAATGATATATGGAGAGAAGGTGAGGAAAACATTAAAAAGTTAAGGAGGTAATAGGACTCAATGGTTTGAATTGCCTTCTCCAGTTATTATGTTCTTAATTGTACTTACTGGATTTTACATGGTCACATGGTTACTGCACTTTCTGTGAAAAGGCAGAAATTACCACATCATTTCAGAAGCTAACAAACTGAAACAAGATAATGTACCAAATTTATTTATATTAAGTATACAAAACATCAACAATGTTATCAGCAAGAGGAATTACAATATCAAATTGAAACTATTTAACAGGTAATTTACGTGTTCAAATAAATCTGCCCTTTGTAAATCGAGAATTGAAAGTCCATTTTAAAATACTGAAAGTGTTCTATTTTTGCACTGTGTTTATGTCTCTGGATCTTGTAGACCTTTTCTTGCTGCCTGTATTTCGCCCACAAAAATATACAGTCAATTCACTTTCCAGTATATTCTGCGAGGCACTATATCAAATGCAAGGATTCTTCTTCTTCACATGTTGCTGTTGAGTATGGAGCCAATGCTTAGCTGACAAACAGGATTATCCTCCGTAGTGGTAGTCCGGTTCCTGAGTCAGGCAGGCACGCAATATTCCAGGGCACTGATGATGACAGCACTTTTTACCTGGCTCATTGGTAGGACCTGGAAGGGCAGACCAGTCACTGGGGGCCTGAAGTCAACCTACTCAACTCCTGTTAACCCTGCAAGCCGAAGCCCTAACATGTAGGGTGGTCCTAGCTGGACAAGCAGCAGGAAAGCTGGTCAGACAGCGATATCAATAGTAAGCTATGCAGTTTTAGCTGGTTAGACTCCAGCAGTATCCCAACACACAATCTTGCTGGGATCTTCAAGCCTTGGGTCTTTTGCAATCTGCACCTAATATTTTCCGGAACTAGGTAACCAGGATGCGTCCCTCCAGGGAGAGAGTACACATTCCATTCCCACAATCTGTCTCTGAGGGTTCCACGTGTAGGTGGGATGCATGGAATTATCAGTTTGGTTTGGATACTCTTGGTGATGGTTTCTGCGTGGGTCAGACACCCGGCTGACCAAAAATCCATCAAACAACAACAACTTCAGGTAAGATCTGAAGATGGGGAAGGAAGTGGCAAGGAGGAGAGATAAAGAAAGAGTGTTCCAGAGTTTTGGTGCGTAGTGGCTGAAAGCACGGCCACCGATGGTGGAATGGAGGGCAAGAGGGACATGCAAGAGGCAGCAGGTAGTGGGTCAAGTGGAGGCAGTGGGTAGTGGGTTGGGGAGTAAACAGGTTGGAGAGGTAGGGAGGTGCCTGAAAAGGACCTGAAGTCATGCGTCATTAAATTCTGTCATCATGGAAAATGTCCTTAATTAGATTTTCCACCAAATAATTAACTCAATTTTGTATATTTAATCCACTGTCAATAATCAGTTTAAAGTCCATATTCAACAATTCAACTTGGTGGTAAATGGAAATTAACCATCAACCAGGTCAGCCATTTACTTGTGGTGCTCAGAGAGCATTAGAATTAACAATAGTAGAAAGTAGACCACAAGCTTCTACAAGTCAAAGTGCATACCCTGTTGTGGTATTCTTTAGCACCATTAATGTATTGTCTGATTCCACAGTCTTGCTCTCCCCGCTTCCCAAAGCATAATGTTATCTGCAAATCATAGAATTATACAGCACAGAAGGAGGCTATTCGGCCCACTGTGCCCATTGAAAGCTGTTATCAAATTGGCTTCCACCACCCTTTCAGGCAATGCATTCCAGATCCGAACAACTCGCTGTGTGAAAAAAATTCTCCTCACCTTCCCCCTGGTTCTGTTGGCAACTATTTTACATCCGTGTCCTTTGGTTACCAACCCACCCGCAAGTGGAAACAGTTTCTCCCTGTTCACCCTATCAAATGCTCTCATAATTTGGAACACCTCTGTTAAATCTCCTCTTAACCTTCTCTGCTCCAAGGAGAATAACCCGAGCTTCTCCGGCATCTCCTGATAACTGAAATTCCTCATTCCTGGTACCATCCTGGTAAATCTCCTTTGCACCCTCTCCAATGCCTTGACATCCTTCCTAAAGTGTGGTGCCCAGAACTGAACACAGTACTCCAGCTGAGGCCTAACCAGTGTTTTATAAAGGTTCATTATAACCTACCACAGAATCTACCTGTGATAAAAGACAAGGCTGTATTATTTTAGAGTTTCATATTATCTTACAGGAGGCAGGGGGTATCCCCAAAATGGTCTCCCTCAGGCACCCTATTGCAACTTCGAACACACTTCTTCCTCTATGATTACCTTCTACTTCCTTTCATGATCACGCCTTACCCTTGATATTGTCTAACATTAGCTTTAAGCATTCTTTAATGTTACACTTTGCTGACTGTGGAAATCTAAAATGCAGTAATTGATTCTATTAGTTTCTAATTCTTGAGTTCAGGCATGAATCTGTGGCTTGTGTCTTCCATGGTTAAAGACCAAAAAGTTATCAGTTCATATTCTCAGTATCTCCTGTTCTCCTTCATATTCAACATTATTTCTGTCCCTTAGGTTTCAACTTCCTTCTTGTTATATTCCCCCAAATCTGCTATAGGTTTTAAAAAGAAGAAGCAACTTGCATTTAAATGTATGCTGCCTACCACACTGAAACATCTTAAAGAGCTTCTCAAATAAATAGTATGAAGGAATTGCATTTATAAAAATAATAATTCTTGCATTTGATGTAGTGCCTCACCACATCTTCGAGATGCCTCAAAGCACTTCACAAAATGTACTATAAAGTGAATTGATTTTGTGGGCGGGCAAATTTAGCAGCCATTTTCACTACTAGATATTACAAATAGACATAGCATTTATCAACCTGGAAGATTGGTGGCCAGGTTAATGGGGAAGCTCTTTTCGAATGGTGTCATGAAAGTATACATGAATAGGCAATGGTTAAAATCTTATCCAGAAAGAACAATGCCTTTAGACAATGCAGCGCTCCCCAGCACTGGAGCGCAAGCCAAGGCTATGAATTTAAATCCTTAAATGTGGGGCTTGAAACCACAACTTTCTGATGGAGAGGCAAAACTCATCCTAGCTGAGCCAAGCTGCCTACAAAAAAGTTGCAAGAAAATTATGACTTATTATTCCCTCTTGTGACACTTAATGTTAATCAAAGCAACTCTGGAAATGCCTACCATATCAACAGCATTTGGGGATTTACATTTTATTTTCCAATCATTCTGAACTTGCTGGTTTAAATATAAGGATTTCTAAAAATGCATAAAATCTGTACAATGGATTACAAGGAGAAACTATTAAAGTAATAAAATAGTATGAATGTCACATGAATGCAGCTGTAATTGCAACGGCATATTGATGAACGACTGTAGGAAAGGTTTACCCTATGTCTAATCCATATTGTTACTGTACTTGGGAATGCTTTACACTGATATTCTGTGAAAAAACATTTAAAAAGGTCCATTGTCCAGGACCAATATCCCTCACATTTATGAACATAAAACTCACCAAATTTGTAAAATATAAAATGGAGTTACCAGATTATTGTAAATTTCAGTGAGAGGTATCTGAACGGTTATTATGTTTTCCATTGTAAGTTTCTGGGTTTCATTCTTTAAAACGTTTTGTGCAGATTTACTTTTTTAGTAGAAAATTGTGGTCGAGTCCAATGGTATCCTGAATAGGGAATTTGTGGAACGAATCAGATTGGAACTTTGTTTTTGATGTTATAAAAAAATTGATGAATAGTTACCTTTTAAGTATGTGTAACTAACTTGTAGAAGCTGAAAATAATACTTACACTCATCACATGAAAAAAGATGTACATATTTTGAAGCCTTTTTGTATCAGTCATGAAATGGTTAAGTGACTGGCTACGTTTTTTTAATTTCCTCATTCCATTCAAATATGACTGTAAAGTGAATATAAAAAGAGCTGTAACAATGAATGAGCCAGTGGTGAGCAGAATTTACTATGATGATATTGCACTCCTACACACTCTCAGACTAACACAATGAAATACTCGGTATGTCTGGTTCTCTGGGTACTTTCCTTTTTCAAAGGTAAGACTTGTTTCTGATATATTATTTTACCTATTTTTTAAAAATGGAGCACTAAAATTATGCTTGTGATAGTGGGTATGTATACATTTAAGTAGTTAAACATTTATCCATGTAATCAGTGATACGTATGGCAATGGGAACTCCACATCGGAAAAACATCCCGGGGTACTGGACAGTCAGGGTTTTTTGGACCTAGCTGGGAGTTAGGGTCAGGAGGGGTGGAGGGCAAGGGGGTTGGGGGTGGGAGGGTGGTCGAAGGCATGGTTGAAGAGGATGGTCTTTAGACGGGACTTGAAGGAGGCAAGAGATAGGATGAAGCTCAGGGATTGAGGGATAGTTCTAGAATGTGGGGGCAGAGATGCTGAATGCCCAACCGTCAATGGGATTAATTACTTGACATTGATGTTAATTAAGGTGTCTACAAATGCTCTTGCTGAGATCACTAACTAAGTACATCTAGTGACTGAACTTAAAATGTTCTTCTGGTCTGCAAGGTTCAGCATCATGCCAATAACGCAAGTTCCCTAATAGGCAAATATTGCAGGTTTCAGTTATTTGATCTCCAGACATGAGAGCATCAGGTTCTGATTTGAATCCATGAGTGCAATCGCTTTCATCTTTTTCAGTAACTTGTCTAAACAAATTCTTGAGGTGGGGATGTAGGTTGTGGTTATCAGCAAAGCTAAGCAACCAGATTATATCTCACCAGTGAGACCTCAAGTTCTGGGCATTTTTCCCATTTTGAAAGCCTAAACTTTAATAGGCAGATGGCTCTAGTTGGAAAAATACTGCGGCAAATTTGTGATTAAGTAAAAATAATGGTTACCATTACTACTTTTATCATTCCACACAGTTCAATCATCGAATTCAATCATTGAAGGAGACCATAATTTTCCAAATGATTAAAACAAGCTACAACTGTGACTAGCACTTACTATAATTGTAATGATAATAGCTTTAACCACATTTTTTCTCTATTAGGTTATTTGCTTTTTGTTTAAAACTTTAAATAATTGTGAACAGAATGGGTACAATATTAATCAAAGATATGCATTGTCTGCAAACCATTAGTTTAAAAAATGATGTTTATGCGCATGTTTGCCTTAATTGAAAATGACTCTCTTCGGAATCAGAATATTGTGTTTTCTAGTTCCATGAAAATTTGAGCTCGTAATCCAGGTTGATGGATTGATATTGCAGTATTCAGTGAATGCTGCCTGGTTGAAAAGGTTAACCTTTCGATGAGATGCTAAAAATAAGAATCTAGTTGCTTGTTTGGCAACGTTAACTACCCCAAGAGGAGCAGAAAGTCTTCACAGCTTTTTGGCGGATATTGAAAGAAACCGAAAATAATTACATTTGATCATTTGTGCTAGTGCTGTTTATAGGCTGCTGATAGCACAAATTAGCTTGTTCAATTATCTACATATAACAACAAGATTACATTTGTGTAGCGCCTTTCATGTCGGGAGGAAGTCTCAAGGCGCTGGGCAGATAACAGCATTTCAGACCCGAGCTGGGGTTGGTGGGGGAAGGGAGGGGAGGGGAAGGGGGGTGGCCGATGGCATCGTCGAAGAGGAGGGTCTTGAGGCAGGACTTGAAGGAGGATAAGGAGGGGATGAGGTGAAGTGACTGGGAGATGGAATTCCAGAGGTTGGGGGCAGAGTGGCTGAAGGCTCTCCCGCCAATGGTGGGGCGGGCGGGACGGGGGCCATGGAGCAAGCCAGAGCCGGCTGAGCGGAGGGAATGGACGGGTTGGTAGGGGATTAGGAGGTTGCAGAGGTAGGGTGGGGTGAGGCCATGGAGGGCTTTGTATGTGAGGACCAGGATCTTGAACTGGATCCTCTGAAGGATAGGGAGCCAATGGAGTCGGACGAGAATGGGGGAGATGGGGTCACAGAGTTTGGTGCGGGAGATGACAAGGTCTGCAGAGTTCTGGATTATCTGCAGCCTGTGGAGGGAGGAGTTGGGAAGACCGACAAGCAGAGCATTTGCATAGTCGAACCTGGAGGTGATGAAGGCATGAACAAGATCTTCAGCGGCCTGAGGGGTGAGGTAGTTGCAGAGTCGGGTGATGTTACGGAGGTGAGGGAAGGCAGAGCAAGTCATGGCTTGAATGTGGGGGAGAAAAGACAGTTGAGGGTGGAACAAGACACCGAGGTTCCTGACTGGCTTGGTGAGTTGTGTGCAACCATGGAGGTTGATGCTGCCAGAGCCTGAGGCGCTGAGGCGCTGGCGCGAGCCAATCAGGAGGGCCAGGTCTTGTTCACATTCAACTGTAGGAAATTTGCCCTCATCCAGGACTTGATGTCCGACAGGCAGTCTGTCAGGACAGCAGTAGTCGTGGAGTTGAGGGTGGAGCAGAAAGATAGAGTTGGGTGTCATCCGGATACATGTGGAAGTTGACCCGATATCTGCGGATGATGTCACCAAGGGGGAGCATGTAGATATTAAAGAGGAGAGGGCCAAGGACAGAGCCCTGGGGAACGCCAGATGTGGGGACTGGAGGAGAAACCGTTAGAGGCAACAAAGTGGAGACGGTGAGAGAGATAGGAATCGAACCAGGCAAGGGCAGATCCGTGAAGATTGAACAAAGCGGAAAGGCGATATATGAGGATGAAATGGTCGACAATGTCGAAGGTGGCAGAGAGGTCGAGGAGGACAAGGAGGCAATGGGAGCCCTGATCACAGATGTTCAGAATGTCATTAGTGACTTTGACCAGGGCTGTTTCCGTGCTGTGGGCAGCGCAGTAGCCGGATTGGAGGGGTTCAAAGAGGGAATGGCGAGAGAGAAAGGAGCGGAGCTGAGACATGACGACTCATTCCAGGACTTTAGAGAGGAATGGGAGATTAGAAATAGGGTGGTAGCTGGAGAGGAGAGATGGATCCAGGGAAGGTTTTTTCAAGCTGGGGGTGATGACGGCTGTTTTTAGTGGGGTGGGAACTGAGAAGAGGTTGATGACATCGGACAGGAGAGGGACCAGAAGGTGAAGCTGGGAGACAAGGAGAGAGGTGGGGATGGGATCGAGGGAGCAGGTGGTGGGTTTGAGTTTGTGGACAGTTGTGGTAAGGGAGGAGGGAGAGATAGGGTTGAAGGAGTATAGGGTGGGATGGGTGGGGGGTGGGTCATGAGGGAGAGGTGATATGGGGTGGCTGTGGACGGGGCTGAGGTGGCTGAATGTATCCCCTCAATTTTAGATTCGAGGAAGTCCAACATCTCCTCACAGTTGGCGTTTGAGGAGAGGATGGGCGAGGTATGGGAAGGTAGACGGAGGAGATGGTTAGAGGTGGTAAAGAGAAGCCTGGAGTTGTCCTTTGCCTCTAAGATAACCTTGGAGTAGAAGGAGGATTTGGCGGAGGCAAGAGCGCAGCGGTAGGTGTGGTGAAGCCAAATCTGCCGATGGACTGGTAGTTTGGATTTGGTCCAGGCAGGTTCAGCAGCTCGCACTTGTGCCTTGAGGGAACAGAGATGGCTGGTGTACCAGAGGGATTTACGGGAGTATGAGGCAGTTTGGGAGGTGAGGGGGGCAAGGGAGTCCAGAATGGAGGAGAGGGAGTTGTGGAGAAAGGAGACCGATGCGGAGCGAACATTAGTGGTGGGAGTGTGGGGGGAATGAGGGATGTGAGGGGGTGGGCAGATGGGTTGGATGGGGATGTGAGTGAGGGAAGAAAGGTTGGCTCCCGTGAGTGGAAGTCGGGGCAGGCGGAGGGAGAGGAGGGTTGAACGGGAGTAGTGGAGGGAAAGGGACGGGGTCGGGAACATCTTGGGGAAACAGCTCAGGTCAATTGCGGCAGCCAATGTGTGCACGCTAAGTCTCGGAGCGGACAGGAGTGTTCAGCGAGCCATGGTTATCCCGCGGGGCTGGTGAAACTCAATGAGGAGATGGGGCAGTGATGTCTTCCTGGTGAGTCCTGGCCTCGAGATTCAAATGAGGCGGGCGGGATGACGTCACGCAGCAGCCGGTTGTTGATTGGCTGAGCCCTCAGAGTCTCAGATGGTGGCGCGGGCGCTGCTGGTGAGGACCAGCTGAGGCGGTGAGTCCCTCGTGAGTCCCTCCCCACGCCCCGGGCCCCTCCCCCTGCCCCGGGCCCCTCCCCCCACCCGGGCCCCTCCCAAGGCCCCTCCCCTGCCCCAGGCCCCTCCCCCTGCCCCACCCCCCTCCCCTCCCCCCACCCCTCCCCCCGGCACCGATCGCGTCCCAGGTTCCACTGGATGATGAGTCGCGAGTCCCGCCCGAGGGGCAGACTCCCAGCGTCGCTCCGGCCGCCTCGGGCTCCGATCCCGGGTAGGTCGCCTCCGTCTCCGACTCCACTCCAGGCTCCCCGGCCGCAGGAGACCTCGAGCCCCAGGGCTCCCGACAATCCACAGCCAGCCCCGTGCTCCTCAAGGTCCAGGAGCGCCTCGTGAACCCAGTCTCCTGACCGTTGCCATCTTAGATGAAGTCCTACATAGCAACACTCCTATGCAAAGTGGTGAGATCTTTAGGCATTAGAATCATAGAATTATACAACAACAATATTACATTTGTATAGCGCCTTTCATGTCCCAAGGCGGACGTCCCAAGGCGCTGGACAATGTACAACGTTTCAGACAGGAGTTGGGGTCGGGGGTGGCGGCTGGTGGCATGGTTGAAGAAGAGGGTCTTGAGGGCCTTGTAGGTGAGGACCAGGATCTTGAACTGGATCCTCTGAAGGATAGGGAGCCAATGGAGCTGGGCGAGAGTGGGGGGGATGGGGTCACGGAGATTGGTGCGGGAGAGGACACGGGCTGCAGAGTTCAGAATACATACATTACAGAAGGAGGCCATTCGGCCCATCCTGTCTGTGCTGGCTCTTTGAAAAGAGCTACCCAAATCGATCCCACTCCCCCGCTCTCCCCATAGCCCTGTAAACTTGTCATCCACAAATAATTTCCTACTTCTCTCTTAAAAGTTGTTATTCAATCGGCTTCCACCGCCCTTTCTGGAAGTACATTTCAGATCCGAACAACTCGCTGTGAAAAAATTTCTCCTCTGTTTCTTTTAACAACTATTTAAAATCATTGTCCTCGGGTTACTGACCACCCAAGAAATAGTTTCTTCTTGTTCACCTTATCAAATTCACTCATCATTTTGAAAATGTATGTCTGCTCTTAACCTCTGCTCCAAGGAGAATAATCAGAGCTTCTCTAGCCTCTCCTGATAACTGAAGTCCCTCAGTCCTGGTACCATCCTGGTAAATCTCCTTTGCACCCTCTCCAATGCCTTGATATCCTTCCTAAAGTGCGGTGTCCAGAACTGAACACAATACTTTAGCTGAGGCCTAACCAGTGTTTTCTAAGGGTTCAACATAACTTCCTGACTTTCATATTCTTTGCCCCTATTTATAAAGCCTAGTGAACCAGATGCTTTTTTAACAGCTTCATCTACCTGTCCTGCCACCTTCAAATATTTACTTATATGAACTCCGAGGTCTCGCTTTTACTTCACCCCCTTTAAGATTCTACCATCTAGCTTATGTTGTCAGATGGTAGAATATTGCCTTCTGTATGATATGGCATTATGGTGTGCCATATCAAACAGAATAATTGTTATTAAATATTCTAAGCAAACTTCTTCATCAACAAAAATCTGTTTGGTGATTTTGTTTTCTACTTAGCAAGGTGAAGATTGCATGTGGAAAATATACTCCCATCTCCCTCAGCCCCAACTCACTTTTTGAGTCATTGTCTTTCTCAAAGCATTGGTTTGATTCACAGCTATATAGAATTATATGGCATGGAAACATAGTTCCCTCAACAAAATACCATGATGTCAATCTTGGAAAACCACTTTTTTTGTACTAGCCATCCTTGTAACTTCTGCACTATTGTAGTCATACTTTGATAATGTTGCATTTTGGAGTGCAAATAACCATTGCATTATCTTATCCCTTACGGCAAATTTATAATTTCCCTTTCTGTATGTTTTACAGTCTCATTAATGGACTATTAATAGAGATAATGGAGATAATGGTTCGAACCCAAACATTTGTTCGTAATTTTATTGCTTAAGTTATTTTTTATTATCACATGGTGCACTATGTGATGATTTTGCACCAACCTTACTTTGGCTGTAGTGAACCTGTGATTGATTCATACTGTGAAGTCACCTCTCTTATGGAGCCTCAGAGGTGTGTCCAAATGCCAAACCAACATGAATTCAGTAGTACTGTGAACTTTGTACAAAATATATTGTCTTAAGGAGGGCTAAGACAGTTAAGAAGGTTTTTTTTAAAAAAGAATGCTGGTGAATCATCTTTCCTGGATTTATTTTCTATTTTACATAGTGCTGAAGTTTCATGCTTGACCATTGTCACACTCATTTGCCCATCTTTACAAATATTTCACCATCTATTAATGGTCCATTAGATGGCCTGTTTGTAAATAGTTATTTTGATTTATCCTTAACTTATTTTTCTCTCTAAGGTATTCATAAATTTTCTGTGGATTCCCTGTATTTATTGTTTTTATTTCAGAAACTATTTACTGTCTTTCTAATGTAAATTGAAGTATTTATTTACAAGGAACCATATTCATACTGCTTTCATTTTATATTATTATATTTGCTGTTAGAACAGGGTCAACCAGGGTATTGAACCATATAAATTACAATAGCATTACCATATTCACCTGATCTAAGTTCACATAACAAAAACAGCCTTATTAGAATGCTGTACATGAAAACTGCCATGAAAGGACATTACTTAAGAGTTGCAAAATTTGACTGCTGGTTACTGTTTTCAAGCCAGCTAGTGTATTTTAATACATAGCTAATCATACAAGCTGACAACTGAACTGTTTAAATATATGAAATAGTTTGACAGAAACAGGCTTTTATGAACAATGGTAACTCACAAATATGTCTGCATATATTCTGTGGAATATGCATTACAGGCTGCACTAGACAGATTGGAGAAATCCTTGAAATAAATGAGGTATTGAATTATATGATGCATTGCATGGAAATATCAATCAGTGTTTGCATATGTAGCATTTCATGGCTCATGAAACACTCACAAAATACACAGTGAATCCACTTTACAGTATATTTGGTGAAGCGCTTTAAGATGTCTCAACCATATGATAAGGTACCATTATTATAAAATTAATCCCAATGCTGAGATGCGAGTTAGAGAAATGAATCTGTTCAAACAGTTCCTTCCTGGTTGCTATCAGGTGAAAAAACAATGGTTTGATTTTAGGAATTGCCACATTATGTAACTCAATCAATAAGGTCTGCTCACAGAGCCATAATCTGGGAGTACATTTCCAGCACGAGTACACAAACAATAAATTGTTCAAATTGCTGCACAAACTTGAAATATCTTGATATTCCATGGGAAGAATTTATTTTCAACAAGTAGATTTTAACTCATACTTATTTAATAAATTACAAATATACTTTTTGTCGCGACTGCAAGGAACCATGCCTTTAAATTTGCTGACAACTGAGAGTTTTGGTACTTGATGGCATTTACAAAGGCACAGTCTCCAGTAGTTGATGAACTTCCAAAGCCAGCTGCCAGTGATAAATATCATATATCATATGATGCATTTTGTGCTCTATTATAATGAGCTAATAGCATATAGTGACAAACTAGTGTGTTGAATATTGAATCCTTTTTAAAACCTGCAGAAAATATTTTTTAAAAAACTGTCTCTGATTATATTCTAAATGAGTTGATTTATCATTTTGGATATATTGCTTAACATTGATCTTGATCTAACACAGATGATGTCTCTGCAAACAAGTGGGCTAAACAGAGCTATTCAGTGGCTACTTATGGTAAGTTGGAAATAGAATCAAAGTAATTTACAGAATAGTGATGACCCTGAAATAGGACATTAGTGGTAAGAACTAAAAATTAGAATGTAGAGTGGATGTGTAGAACCATTCAGCTGAGTAGCATGAACGGAAGGCTAGGAATGTGTACTATTTTAGCAGTATGGTATAAATTATAATAATATTGTTTAGAATCTGGCTTAAGTAATGGCAACTCATTGAATGGAAATAAAAAGAGGCTTATGATGAATATAGATCTCATAATAAATTACCCTCAAGAAAAAAACATTGGTCACTTTAACCCACGACTGTTTGTGGGACACTGCTGTGTACAATTGGCCGCCGCATTTTGCCCACAAATATACAGTCAATTCATTTTACAGTATATTCTGTGAAGGGCTTTGAGACGTCTCGAAGATAGTTATCAAATGCAAGGATTATTATATAATACGAACCAAACCAACAACAACTTGCATTTATATAGTGCCCTTCACCCGAGGTAGCAGCCCAGATCGCTTGACAGTGATGGAGTTATCAAGAGTTATTAATAGTTATTAATAGTTATTAATTATTTCTCTAACTGTATTAGTTTACCCCAGTGTAAACAATTTCTAGACGGCAGCATACCTCTCCTCCCAAGTGGTTTATTTCTCTTTCAGACTAGATCAGTACCATCTTTATTATGATTGACATTAATTTTTTGTAATGGCTAAGGACCCAATTGGTAACACGCTTTTTTTTTGACTGAGGAGAGCTTGCACTGTAGCCCTCTCTGGCAGTTAAACTCTAGAAAATAAATATTAAGTTTAGAAAAGCCTTACGAACTGCTCTAGCTCTAGAGCCTACAATGTACAATGCAAAATTACATCTTTTTAATTACAACAAAATGGCAGGTGACATTGACGTTTGGACGAGGAAGGATCCACCTACTGAGATGGGCTGCAGCCACCTCCGGGTAGCTCATGTTAGAATGAAGTAATACAAGAGATGCTTAACAAAATGCTAATTTAAACCAATATTCCTCATGTGGCCATGGAGTCCTGTAGCTCAGTGGTTAGAGTACTCGCCTCGCAAGCGAGAGATCTGGGTTAGATTCTCGGCAGGGCAAAAACTTTGGGTAAGTTTCCTTCCTCCACATGCCTGATAATAATCCCTCAAAAAAAACATTAATAAATTGGTCACTTCAGTCCATGACTATTTGGGCGACACTACTGAGTGCAATTGACTGCTGGGTTTCGCCCACAAATAAACAGTCAACTCACTTTAAAGTATATTCTATGAAGCGCTTTGAGACATCTAGAAGACTGAAAAGTGCTATATCAAATACAAGGGTTATTATTATTATTTTAGAAACATGGAATCATAGAATTTTATAGCACAGAAGGAAGCCATTTGGCCTATCGTGCCTGTGCCGGCTTTTTGAAAGAGCTACCAACTAATCCCATTCCCCCGCTCTTGCCCCATAGCCCTGCAAATTCTTCCTTTTTAAGTACCCATTGTCGAACCCAGTTGCTATGTGCGATTGCTCTTGATGACCTGAAGCTCAACACGCCCGAGTCAGTGCGGCATTTATTTAACAAGCTTTATTTCACATATATATATATGGGGTGCAGGGCAGTAGCAACGACTTCCTTCTAGTGCTGCTCCCTACTCTGCACACCAAATAGGTTAAAACATCTCATCTTTATACAGATCTCATTCAACAGTTCTGAGGAGACATTCTACATTGATTACTTTACAACGTCCTGTCTCGCAAGAGCTCTCGAGAAACATCACAAGGGTGTTAGATCTGTTTTAGGTCAACATGAGATAGTCACCTTATCTTTCAATAGGATGTTGTAAAGTTTTACAACAACATGCTTGATCTTACTTGCTCCTTTTGGCCTTTGATGCATATGGCCTGCTTAATTGCTAACTTTGCAGAATGTGCTGAATTTGCCTTCCACACTCCTCCCTTTTATCCCTGGGATAACCCTACCATGTTTTTAGCCCTCAATGGTACTGCTTTCCGAAAGTGTATCCGGAAAATCAAATGCCACCTTGAAGTCACATTCATCACATGTGGGAAATGGGCCATGGTGAGGGTTGACTTGGACCATGTTCATGGTCATCATGGTTTTTGTGGTCTTTTTGCAACACTGTGTGCAACACGTCAGGGCACACTTAGTGACGATAATAATAAGGACAAGAATTAGGCCTATTTCCAATAGAACCTGGACCGCACTGCCCAACCATCCTAGCCCCATACTTTGCAACCAATTACCCAGCCAATCCAATAACCCTCCTCCAGAATGTATAATGATATTACCCGCATCCTGCCCCGTTTGGTTGATCTCTCTGGTAATATTCGAGATAGAACCAGAAAAATCATCAATTGTTATGCAGCACTCAAGTCCGATGACCTTGCACACTCCTCCCGTCGCAGCCAAAACATAATCGAGGGCCATACGGTTCTGCATGGCATATAGACGAATCTCAGACATCTCTTTGTTAACGAGAGCCAATTCCGCAGATGTTTCAGAGGCCAATGAAGAGACTGCTTGAGAGAGAATGGCAATCTGGTCAAGGGCGCACATTACTCTGTAATTAGGGAGAAGAGCCCCGAGCATGCGATTCCACAGGAGCATCTGAATGTAGACATTCTGTAAGCGGAAAGGCTGGGGAGAATCCGCTGATAAAGAGTCTCCAAACAAACGTAAGCGCGCAAAAGCAAGGGGATACATATCTGAAAAAGGGACATCACAAGGAGGTGGTACTGGTGTGGAAGGCAAGGGGGACTCAGCTAGACCCTTGCGCCAGCCCTGAGGAAGTTTGACATAAATTCTAGTCCCATAGGAATCCAGGGCGTGAAAACACAAACTGGGTTTTGTTGGAAAACTGGGCGCGCTCAGTGGAATATAAACAAGATTCGGTAAAAGTACATTCATAATAAATGGAGCAGTAACACATTACCATGGAATTATTATGGACGGATTTACATTGACCAGAATCCTCAGGACAATTCAAATCGTCAGAGTATGAAGTATCCTGAGTATTTCGTAACAAAAAAACGAGCATTAAAGATGGGAGATCGCTCCTCAAGGGGTACATCAGTATAACAAATGGCGGATGAACAGGGCTCAGACTGGTCATCGGATATGATGAGGTCTCGGTTTAAAGATATTAGGAGTTGGTAGACACCCTCTCCTGGGATAAGAGAGTAAACATGACAACATAACAAGAACAATAAAACGCACGCAGAAAACAACTTCATAATGACACAAAGTCCATTCAAAAAAAAACGAGAAGGTGACAATCGTTAGGCCTTTTCGCAGTCGCTGGAGTTCGTCGTGGCTTGCTTGCAGTGGCTAGCGTGAATCCATGTAGATCTTTCTCGAACCTTTACAGTGGTGTGGGTCACCAATAGAATTTGGAACGGTCCTTCCCAGCGCGGGCTTAATCTGTTCTTACGTTTGAAGGTCTTGATGTAAACGAAATCTCCTGGCTGAAACTTGTGGCATTGATCAGATGCCGATGGATGTTGGGAGCGCTCGAACCTGCAAATTAAAGCTAGATAGGGTTTTAGTTAATGCAATGCAGTATTGCATGCCTTTCCTCGACAGTTTGGACAATTTCAACTTTAGCGTCCCATTAGCCCTTTCAACAGCCCCTGCAGACTGGGGATGATATGCACAATGCAGATGCTGTTTTATTTTCAACATTTTGCAAATGTCCTTTATTACCATGGCAATAAAGTGAGGACCATTATCGGAGGAAAGGCGAGATGGTACGCCAAATCGAGGAAGGATGTCTCTTAACAATATTTTGGCTGTTGTCGTGGCATCATTCTTCCTACAAGGAAAAGCTTCAATCCACTTTGAAAACATGTCTACAATAACCAGAACATATTGATACCCTTCAGCTTTAGGTAACTGAATAAAGTCCATTTGAAGGTGCTTGAAGGGACCCTGAGGGGGAGGATGGGACGCCGGAGTCACATCCTCAACCTTGCCTGGGTTAAATTTTTGGCATATTAGACAACATTTTACAATCTGCTGGAGGAAAGGGGTTAATCCTGGGGCAAACCATGACTTCGTTATCCAACTATACATGGACTGCGTTCCCTCATGGGTAAAATTATGCAACACATGTGCCATCCATGGGAACATTTGCCAGGGCAGGACTATCTTTAATTTGTTCGAGACCCAAATCCCTAGGTCGTTAATGAAACAATTTAGGTGGGCCCACTTTTGCTTCTCCTCCAGAGGGGCCTCATATTGGATCCAAAATATTTCATCACGCATCGTATCAGTAATAGCGGGGCGCTCGATAGCCTGTTGTAATGCCAATATTTTTACAGGCTTACTTAAAGCAACATGTTTTGCAGCAGCATCTGCATAAGCATTTCCCTTAGAGACTGGGTCAGTTTGGTTAGTATGGACCGCACATTTTATGATCACAATGGCTTTTGGCCGTAGTAATGCGGTGAGAAGACCTACTATAAGGTCTTTGTGTTTAATGGGGGACCCACTTGAAGTAAGAAATCCCCGGTTTTTCCATAGTTGGCCGAAATCGTGACATACTCCAAATGCATAGCGGGAGTCAGTGAACACATTGAGCGTTTGCCCTTCAGCCAATTCACACGCTCGCTTTAGAGCAGTTAGCTCTGCAGCCTGTGCAGATGTGGTGGAGGGTAACGAGTCGCTTTCAATAATGGTGGTAGCCGATACAATGGCATACCCTGCACAGGGCTGACCGAACTCATTCCTACAAGCTGATCCGTCTACAAACCATTCATAATCTGCATTTTGCAAGGGACTCTCCTTTAAATCTAAGCGTGGTTTTGTTTCTAAGGTAATGATTTCAAGGCAATCATGGGGTTCCCCTTCATCTTCTATGGGCACAAGGGTTGCTGGGTTCAGAACAGTGCAACGCTTAATGGTTAAATTTGGGTTGGATAGTAGACCCACCTCATACTTGCTGCTCCTGGCACTTGTTAAATGTTGAGTTGCATGTCGAAGCAG